TTTGGTTTAGAGTTTGGTAACTATGTTATAGTATTGTATGTGTTTTTAAGGTTAGATTGTGGAATCTTTTTTTTAAAGTAAATTTGACATATATGTGTTTAGTTTTGTGTATATTAAACACTTTATAAGTTTATTTTAAGTTTAATAAAGTTTTGTACGTGATTTAGTTGTATATTTGATTTTAGAGTTTTGGAAGACTTAAATTTTCGAAGATATAATGCATTACAAGACTTACTGGATGACTTAACAACAGTTTCCCAATTTAAATTTTAAAACAATTTAGGTTTCTTGCCTAAAGTAAGTCTTCTAGGCGAATAGTAAGTCATTTAGACAAATAGTAAGTCTTATGGGTAAATAGTAAGTCTTCTAGGCGAATAGTAAGTCTTCAAAGTAAGTCTTCTGGGCGAATAGTAAAAGACTTCTTGGAAGACTTTCATGTAAGTACATAAAAATCTTATGTATCAAAAATATTTAACTTAATTGGAATTTTTGTCTTCCTATATAAATAAAAGTTTACACATTCTATTTCTTCCTCTGAAATGGAGGCAACAAACATGTAATATTCATCACTCGAAAATTCTCTAATCTCTCTCTAAACAATTTGAATTTAACAACACGAAATATTATATTAATTTCTCATTTTTATGTGTTTCTCGCTATTTTATCTTGTTTTTTGTAGTTTTGCATTACATAGTCGTCATCTTTCACTCATTTAAAGGTAGATCTATACAATTTTGATATGTTTTCTTGTGTCTTTTATATATTAGATTCTAATAAGTTATAGATTCAACATAATCTGACTGTTTTAGTTATTATTTAAGCTTAAAAAATATTGTTTTTTTAACAAACATTATCTGTTTTGATATCATTTGAACGTTTTAGATATGCATGTTTTTTCAGATCTGGGTGAGATATAGGAATACTTTCAGAAGACGTTCAGAAGACTTTCCTGGAAGTCTTCTGGCATAGTCTTAAGTCTTCTGGTGTAGTTTTAAGTTTTCTGGCATAGTCTTAAGTCTTCTGATGTAGTTTTAAGTCTTTTGACGTAGTTTTAAGTGTTCTGACGTAGTCTTAAGTCTTCTGATGTAGTCTTCTTCCATGTCTCCTATTTCACAACAGATGTGAGCGTTTTGGTAAGTTTTCATGTCTGATTTTTCTTCATTTATTAATCTCTTGTTGCATAAAGCTCTTATCTTTTTTCCAAACTAAAATTCTCCAACATCTCTTTAATCTCTTTAAACATGAAAACACCAAACTTTATATTAATTTCTCATTTTTTTTCTTATGTCTTTCTTACTAATTTATCTTGTTTTTGCAGGTTTTTTCAGATCTGAGTCAGACTTTGGAAGACTTACAGAAGAAAGTCCAATTTCCGACACAGATTGGTCAACTGTAAAACTAACCTGTTTATCCGAGAAGACTTCCAGGTAAGTCTTCTCGATTTTTTTTGCTAACAAAGAAAATTGGAAAACTTCCATGACAACCTTCTTTAAAAAACACACAGGAAGTCAATTGCAAAAGTAATATATTCTTTGACCAGAAGACTTCCGTGGAAGTCACGTAGTCTTCTAACGAAAAAATCTGGGAAAAAAAAATTCAATTTATATCTTCAACCTCTTAGTTCTCCAAGCACACACAACGTCATCAGAACAACTACTCAATTATTAATGACCAGAAATCATGTGTTTGAATGGCTATATGACCCTTAAAAACTTTAAAATCAAAAATCTTGAATTTGTTTGGATGAATATAGCTAGAAAGTGAGAGAGAGATGTAGTTTTTGAGCTTAAAATATAAGAACGAATGAGTAAATTTTATTTTTTGGATGCATTAAGAGCTTTATTTTGGTTGTTCATGGTTGTTGGGTGAATTGATGGCAATGCCATTTTCGTGATTAATTGATGAAGATGAAGATGAGAGAGTAAAACACTCATTTTCAAAAAATGACATTTTCGTGAATAATCAGAACTTCTGAGATGGATATGACAAATTAAATGTCAAAAGAAAAAAGATTAGTTTTGTGTTTGACTTGAAATTTTGAGTCGATTTTGCAAAAAATCATTTATTTTATTCTGTAAATCGTCAACTGTATCACTCATATTTAAAAATATGACCTATGTATTCATGCAAATGTATTTTTCATGGATCAAAAATTTAATATATAGTAAAATTGTTACCTATGGCTATATTTGATTTAAATGATCAAATAACTCAGTAGATTATTTAAAACTTTGTGTGTTTATATTATATATTTGCATAACATTTTCTTGTGTTTTTTTAATATAGTTAATATATCCAAATCAAAATAATAAACCTGTACTAAAGAACATATTTTTTTTGGCATTGATTAAGGGCATGACTGGTTACAATGCAGCGATTTCGGTTGCAGGCATTTGCGGATGCGGGAGATTGCGGTTTTAAGCGTTAGTAAGAGATTTATACGACTGATACAATGGTTTAAAATTGTTGCGTTTGCGGGATACTTATGACTGGTTTATCATCAAATACAACGACAGTTAAGTAATAAATTAAAAATATTTATATTTTATATAATTAGCAAAATATTAAAATCATATTTTCATGATAAATATAATCTTTGTATTGAAAAAACTGCATTATTTAATTTTTTAAAAAATTAAAGAAAATATTTTTTTGGAAATTTTATAATATAAATATTTCAGTATTTCAATTATTTAAATTTAAAATTTTAATTAAAAATTTTATTTTTATATTTATATAGTTTTTTGGAAAAAAAAAATTTTATTCTCCCGCAACCGCAAACGCTAGCTGGAACCAGCTTTTGAATTTTAGAGATTCAGAACGATTTGAAGCGGTTTATAGGGTTTTCTGTGATTGTTGCAAAACGCTAACAACCGATACCAACCGCAAAAGCTGCGTTTGCGGGTTCCTAAGTATAATTTATTAGTTACCTAGATTGTAGGAAGTATTTCTTAAATTAATACATCTCTATATTATTATTTGAGAAGTCACTTTCTTAGGTGTCGCGCTCACGTTAACTCTTACGTTGGTTGATTACTAGGATACCCCTAATGAATTAAAAATACAATTAAATATTATTTCCTTTTTACAAAATTTCCAAATAACAATATAAAATAAAAAGGAAACATTTATAAAATTTACAAAACTATTTAAAAACGAAAATATAAGTATATATAATATGTTTTAATAAAAAAGGAAAGTTCACAAAATAGTAATATTTAATTTAAATATATTTTAAATAACATAAAATATACATTTGAAGTAATAAATTACTTTATATCTATATTTTCTTAGATAAAAAAAACAATATCTGTATGTAATGTGATTTCATAAAAAAAATTCACACAAAAAAATATTGCTATTAGAAAAAGAAATATTATTTCTTAAAAAAATAATTTTAAACAATAAAAAAAAAAAATATATATATATATATATATTTTTTTTTTCAAAATAATTATTGTTGTATATATCTATATATTTTATTAGATGATTACATAAAATAATTAACTAACATAAACTGATATATGTTTAATTGACATTTTTGATAATTAGTATTATTGAAATTATTTTTTTAGTATATTTATTTGACTATAATATCTTACAATTACAGTAAAAATATAATTCTATTTTACTTATATAGTATAATTTCTCAAAAACAATCACTTTTTACTGACTATTTAAGAATTAACGTGATCGCGACACCTAAGAAAGTGATTTCTCAAATAATATTATAGAGATAAATTTAATAATAAACATCTTTCGATCAAGTAACTACAATTATTTTAAAGTATCATAACACTATATAATTTAACGAGGTAGATATATTATATTTTAATAGTTAAAATTATCTGTTTTATGAATAAGGATTCTGATTTACTTAAGTATTTTGATTATGGTTATATTAAGTTTCATAAACATAAACACATAAAATAACTACAATTATTTTAAAATACCACTATATAATTTAACTAGGTAGATATACTATATTTTAATAGTTAAAATTATTTGTTTTCTTAATAAATCTTTTGATTTTTAATTTTCTGTTTTTATGTTTGTGAAACTTAATATAACCATAGTCAAAATACTTAAGTAAATCAGAATTTTTATTTTTAAAATTATTTAAAAGAAATTTTAGTTAACCATCCAATCAATCTAAAGCATAAATTTATTTAGAATTTATAAAATATTTTAATTATTGTAAATATTGATATGTGTTTCAAAGCTTCTAAAAATTCATTAGTTACTTATGTATGTAATTTAGACTCAGACACTTTAGATTTTTTTTTCCTTCTAAGCACAAAAAAATATTAAGTTATATATAATCTACTAAATATACTTATATTTCTAAGATAACAATCAACATAAATGCAAATAAGAAAATTAATCAAAAATTTAATATATTTAAAATATAAAAGATTATAGTTGAATTCAGAGAAATAGATAGAATCCAATATATCTAAATGATAACTAAATCGACCATAAGAACAATAAAACTTACTAAATCTAACATATCTAAAATTATATATATATAATTAAAGTAATATAATATAAATTAGAACATACAAACTATAAATTAATTTAAAAATTAAAGTAAATATCAATCAATTATTATTGTATATTTATTTTCTAAATATATATGTCCGTGCATGCGCACGGGAAAATCACCTAGTTAGTACATAATTTGTTGTTCTTCAGTTTAGGAAATTATTTATAAATTTGGAAAAGACAAACAATTAATGATTAAAATTAGGCTTATTAATTATTTCGATTGCCTTGCTTTGTTACAAATAAGTTGTAAGTCTTACAGTTATTTTTTTATTTGTACTCCTATTTTATTAATTAAAAGATAGGTAAATATTGCAAGATAATTATCGGACTGATCATAGATATATATATGGGGAAATCAGACTAGCAACTTATGTCTGAATATTTGGGGAAGCCTTCATCACTTCAAAAGCCAACAAAAACATTTGAAGGAAAAGGAGTAATACGGCTAAGATTCAAGGACCATGCTGGTAAGGGGACTTAGACACACAGTAGTTCTTGTTAATTTGATAAGTGTCCCAAGCTTGTCTGCTTCCACTGGTGCTGGCATTATGATTCATGTTCATAGTATTGTTGAAGCTCTGGTGGTTCCACTGGTTTTGATTCTCCCGTTGATTGATGTAACTGTTACGATCAGAGCTCAGAGCATTATAACTGCCAATTAATTGGTTATTCAAATGATTACGATACAAATCATTGGAATCAACGTTGTAGTGATCGTGTTGAAACAATCCATCATGGATATAAGAGCGATGCATTGGTGGAAAACTGTGAAATGGAAGCCCCATATCGCCATGAGTTTCAGGAAAAGAACCGACCTGGTTCCCATTAGCAATACCAGAAGAAGAAGAGCCACCAAAATATCCAACAAACTGGTTGCTTTCTTGACCACGTAAGAAAGGTTGGTGACGACGATTAACTTGTTGGATATTCTCAGCAGAAATTTTACGGCTACCTCCACCAATGGGTATGTTCCTTAGCGCTCCACCGTGAGTCCAGTGTCGGAGACATTCCTTGCACTTGTAGCGCGGTTGAGACACCGTATAGTTGTTGTAGTAACAGAACTTGGTGTTGTTTGAGTTACACCTAGGACACACTCGCGGTGGAGGCTTCTCTTGGTTCACGTGATTGTCTCCTATAGCAAAAGCACTTGAGTAATCCATTTTTCTCACGGGCTACTAATTAGTTTTCTTGTTGTTTTTTTTTTTGGAGAACAGTTTTCTTGTTGTTTGTATGGTTATTTTAGGTGTTGTGAGGGTCTTCTTATATAGCTTCTTGGGAACTGGAAACTGAAGAAAATTAATGATAAGTTTGGGATTTTAGAAAGTGATATTATGAGAAAAATGTTAAAAAATATGTAATATAGAATCTGAAGATCTATCTTTACACCCTAACATTAGGCTAAGCTTAGTAAAAAACCAAGGCTCTTTTACTCTTAAGTTTTAATTCTTGGATGTATATGAAAAAATGGAGATTCAAGACATATGATTAAATGAGTCAAATCATATAGACAAAAACAAAATCTAGCTAGAGATATTGAAAATCTGATGCTAATTTAAGGCAGTATAAACAAAAAAATTTAAGTGTTTAATATGAAAAAGAGTATGAGTGAACACGTGTAATTATTTTTTTTAAAAACACGAACGCGTGTACACAATATAATTTTATATAGATTTTTTTTTTAATATAGATTGTTAAAAATGGTAAAAGTTTAGTAAATAACAATATCTAATAATACATTGTAAATATTTAATAACAGAAGATATGATTAAATGAGTCAAATCATGTGGACAAAAACAAAATCTAGCTAGAGATATTGAGACTCTGATGCCAGTTTAAGGTAATACTAGGTTCTAACTTGCGTTTAAAAATGGAAGAATGTTTTTAACAAAATTATATTTTGATGTTTGTCCTTTTAGATAATATATATATAATAATATTGTATAATTATGAAAAAATATTCAATTATTTAGAACATTGTAAAACTATAATATAGTAAAAATGAATTATAATTTGGATTTTAAAATATATTTAAAGATTTTACGGATGCAATTTTTTTAGAAATATTTTAAGTTATTTTTTAAAAAAATATATATTTAAATATATTTAATATTGAGACCAAAGTCAATATGTCGAAGCTACTACCTTTAATGTTTTTATAGCATTCAAATTTTTTTAATGACACAAATCATAAATCACACGGAAAATTAAAGTTTGTTATATATTTTTTTGGTCTAATAAGATAGATAAACAAAACAAATTATAAGTGTTTACTATGAAAAAATGTATTGGGGACCACATGTATTGAAAATAATTTTACTATAATTTTTTTAACTTAAATTGTTACAATGGTGAAAAGTAACAGGTTTATTAAATAACAATTTCTAATAAAACTCTGTAACCACATAAGTAATTTTATGATAAAAACATTTTTTTTTTCAAAATAGACAATACACATAACTATTTAAATTTATTAATAATTTAATAGATATCATTAAGAGAGAAAGATAATGTGTGTGAGTGCTTGTGTTTTATAACAATTCCAATACCAAGGAGACAAGATTATATCAAAGTCCAGTACTACTAATTCAAGTTATTCACTCATTATGTTTCTATTGTTGTAAATGATCAAAGTGAAAACTGCGGGTGTATCAGAAATACCTGCGCCTAGTGCTGCCACACCCCCCTGCTTTATTCATTGATACTCCAGTTTACTGATGTTGTTGCTTCTAATGTAGTTACTCTTATTGCAACCACAACTACTTCACTCTCACAATGTGCAAAATCTGATGAGAAAATCATAAGTTCGATTAGAGAATAATTTAATAAACTAAACGATTTGTGGTTAATTAATCAATAATAATTAGTAATTCATAGGTAGAAATTGTAATTAGTAGGATGATTCAGTTTTAATATAATAGATCTTATATAAAAGATAATTCAGTTTTAATATAATAGATTTTATGAGCCTGGAACAACAAATCCTCAAAAGTCTTCTGAATCCAGATTGATAGTAGACATAACCATAGATTGACCATATTTGTACACGTATAAAACTCACACTATTAGGCATAAATTAAAACAGAGAACAACTGAAGCTGATCAATACATAAAACACTTGAAAACACATAGATCTACTCATCAGTTATGAAGGCACAATGCACACAATGAACTGGTGATAATTATTTATTATATTATAAGAAGACCTGCAAACAATTTATGTCTCGAAGTTTAGGAAAACAAAGATGCAAACTTTTAGAACTTAAAATAAAAAGACCCAACAGAAAACATAAACGAAAAACTGAAACATTTATTAGCTTAAGAAAAAAAAAAAAGAAAACGAGTAAAGCGGTTATGATTCAAGAACCATGATTCTCCACATGATAGAAGGATCTAAACACACACTTGGTTATGACTTTGTTGTTCTTGAACATGTGATCAATGCCTTACTATCCTCGGCTTCCACTAGTGCTGGCATTATGATTCATGGTCATGGTGTCGTTGAAGCTCTGTCTTGGCTTGTTTGGATCCTCTTGATTACCAACATGGTAAAAACCTTGGGTATACGACCCATCACTGGATTCTGTGCGATCCATTTGTGGAAGACTTCGAACTGGGAACACCATATCACTATAAGTCTCAACCAAAGAAGTGAATTGGTTCTCAACAACAGCAACAGAAGAAGAAGAACCAATAGATCCAAGAAAATCGTTGGTTTCTTGATCATGTAAGATAGACTGCTGATGATTAACCTGTTGACTCTCAACAGGAACCACTTGAGCAACAGATGGTTGATCTGTCCTTGGACGCTTGGATTTACGGCCACTGCCACCAACCGGTATGTTCCTTATAGTCCCACTATGAGTCCATAATCGACGACAATTCTTGCAGGTGTAGCGAGGTTGATCCAAGCTATAGTTGTTGTAGTAACAGAACCTGGTGTTGTGTGAGTAACACCTTGGACACATTTGTGGTGGAGGCTTCTCTCCATTTACTTGATGGTTTTCCCACACGAAAAGATGCATGTTATCCATTTCTCTCAAGAGTTTACTTAGTTTTGTTGTTGGTAGTGTTGTTATGATGATTTTAGTGTTGGGGAGGGGGTGTTCTTATATAGGTTCCTGGGGCGTGGAAATTGAAGAAGAGATACACTTGTCTTTAAATAACTGAGATTGTGACCAAAAGGTGTCAGAGATTTTGTATTAATGAATTCTAGAGACCTATTTACACACACAATAAACCTTAGCCTCAGCTTAGTCTAAAACCAAGGCTAGCTTACTCTTAACTCTTGGATGTATATGAAAATTAGAGAATCAAGAAGTTGTTATTAAATTAGTTAAGTGGTAATCATAAACAAAATTTAGGGACATTAAGAACGAAATGCCAAATAAAACATCATTAGATGTTTATTATGAAAAGAGTATGTGTGAGCGCGTGAGCATACTCGCACTTTCATTGGCGCAGAAATTAAGTTTTTCACTATATAAATCCTCATAAGATTTTGTATCTTTAAATATATACAAATGTTAAGAAAAGTTAGTTGATAATACTACCTAATATAAAGAAGCATCCAAATGACATTGAGAGTGTAATGCCAAGTGAAATATCATTAGGTGTTTATTATGAAAAAGAGTATGTGTAAGCGCGTGAATCTACGCACATTTTCATTGGCGCAGAAATGAAAATTTTCACTATATAAAATCTTCACAAGATTTGGCATCTTTAAATAGATAAAAGTGTTAAAAAAAGTTTAGTTGCTAATACTACCTAATTAAAGAAAATAATTAATAGATATACCTATTTCTCGAAATCGACAAAACACTTAAAAATTAATTTTACTAGAGCCTTAATAGTGATTTTACTAGTGATAATCATATTAATGATTGATTATGTTTTATTAAGAGAAAAATACAGTGTGTGTGAGTGTGAGCATTCACAAGTGCTTATAGAATTTATTGTTAAAAGGTATACTTAATGATTTTTGTTCATATATAAGAGCATCTCCAAAATGACTCTCTATTTTAAAGTTTCCAAAACTCTATATTTGAAGTTTCAAGGTGTTCTTCTCCAAAAGAAAAACTTCAAATTTAACTTCAGAATTATTTCTATTTTACATTTTGATCCTTATATTTTTCATAGTTAATATAAATTCATAAAACATTGATAAATAACATACACATATATATATAATTATACAAAATATTAATTAATAAAATCTTACACCAAAATATAAAATTATAAATACAAATACATGATTATTACAAATAGAATACCACATTTTTGTTGTCTAATTTTAATTTTAAAATATTTTAAAATACTAAACTACAAGCAACTATTTTAAATTTTATTATTAATATTTATTTATTTTTATGTCTAGAACTTAAATTTATAAAAGGTAAAGTTTAATTTGAAATATTTATAAGATTAAAAAAGTTTTATGGATTAAAAAATAAAAAAAAATATTTATGAATTCTAATTTTTATTTGTAATTGTAAGGACCAAAATGCAATTAAAAAGATGAAACTTCAAATTTAAAGTTTTGAGTATTGAAACTTCAGATATAGAGTTTAACTCTTAAAAAATCAAATTTGAAGTTTAAGGTTTATTTTTGGAGAGCAAAAAACTCTAAAAAAACTCTATATTTGAAGTTATAGAGTTTCTTTTGGAGATGCTCTAAAATGGCTACATCTCGAGAGAACAAATAGCAATTCCAAACACCAATAATACACGTTATTCAACAAAACAATGTTTAGTATCATACTCCCTCTGTTTCATATTAAGTGTCGTTGTAGAGATTTTTTTACGTTACAAAATAAGTGTCGTTTTCGGTTTTCAATGCAAAATTTATTAATTTTATTATGTAATTAGTTTTTCTATTGGTCAAAATATGGTTAGGTGTATATATAGGTAACTGTGTTTTTATATAGGAAATATGTAAAATTAATTATTTCCTTAATCTGTGTGCACAGCTGTAGAGTGACACTTATAATGAAACAGAGGGAGTATTAATAACACTACAAGAAAACTAAGCCTTTACTAGGAAATTTTACTAGAAAAATAATTCCTCGTAAACTTACTAGGCACTTACTTCGGTTTTACGAGGAAATCAAATTTCCTCGTAAGATCCTCGTAAAATTACGAGAAACAGAATTCCTCGTTAGACCGTAGTAATGTTACGAGGAGCTTACAAGGAAAAAGTACATTTCCTCGTAAACACGTAGTACCACTTTTCCTCGTAAAGTCAAGTCTTTACTACGAAATTAGGTAGAAAGAGTTATGTTACTGTGAAATTAGGAGGAACTGGATAGAAAATATCGAATTTAAATCAAAAACGTGTTTTGTACCTAGCAATTTCCTAGCAATTTCCTAGTAAATGCTCAGATTTGAAAATTTCTATAAATACCACCTTATGTGATTCATTTGAAACACACCCAAAAAAATTCAGCTATAAGCTTGATCAAACACAAAAAAATTTCCGGTCCGGGAAATATTTTCGAGTTGCGGCAGTGGATGTATTCACAGAGAGGTAATAACGGGAGGGTAAGGAAAGAATTTCTGGAAGGGTTGGAGACGTTTATGCATCAAGCAGATTCTACACCACTAACGCAGGAAAGTGGTAAGATGTTCTGTTCTTGTCGGAAATGCTGCAATACCAAATTAGGCCCTCGTGAAAATGTTTGGAAGCATTTAATAATAGAGGTTTAATGCCATATTATTATATTTGGTATCAACATGGAGAAGATGCTAGTTGTAGGAATGAAGGTAGCAGTAGTAATAGCAATTTTCAGGTTGAACCGGTTGATCATTTGCGTAATGAAGGTAGCAGTAGTAATAGCTATCATCACCAAGAGGAACAAATGGTAGATTGTGATAGGGTTCATGATATGGTAGGTGATGCATTTGNAGTTGTAGGAATGAAGGTAGCAGTAGTAATAGCAATTTTCAGGTTGAACCGGTTGATCATTTGCGTAATGAAGGTAGCAGTAGTAATAGCTATCATCACCAAGAGGAACAAATGGTAGATTGTGATAGGGTTCATGATATGGTAGGTGATGCATTTGTAACTCATGATGATGATGAAGTTGAAGAACCTAACTTAGATGAAAAAAGGTTTTATGAAATGTTATAAGCTGCGAATGAACCAATTTACAGTGGTTGTAGAGAAGGTCTGTCTAAATTGTCGTTGGCTGCTAGAATGATGAGTATTAAAACCGTCATAATCTACATGAAAATTGTATGGATGCATGGGCAGACTTGTTTAAAGAGTATTTGCCAGACACAATGTGTCTGCTGAATCTTATTATCAGATTCAGAAATTGGTATATAGTCTTGGGTTGCCCTCGGAGATGATAGACGTTTGCATCGACAACTGCATGATTTACTAGGGAGATGATGAGAAGTTAGAAGAATGTCGATTTTGTAAGAAGCCACGATTCAAACCGCAAGGTCGAGGGCGCAATAGGGTACCGTACCAAAGGATGTGGTACCTACCAATCACAGACAGATTGAAAAGATTGTACCAATCTGAGGAGATTGCTGGAGGGATGAGATGGCACGCCGAGCATACTCAGACGGATGGAGAGATGACTCATCCATCAGATGCAAGAGCCTGGAAACATTTTAACAATGTACATCCACATTTCGCTAGCAATAGCCGGAATGTGTATCTTGGATTATGCACTGATGGATTTAGTCCATTTGGAATGTCTGGGAGACAATATTCATTGTGGCCGNGTGACTTTCCTGCATATGGTATGTTGTCTGGGTGGACTACACATGGGAGATTAGCTTGTCCATATTGTAATGGAATGACAGATGCGTTTCAGTTGAAGCATGGTAGGAAGACTAGTTGGTTCGATTGTCACCGTCGATTTCTTCCCATCCACCACCCATACCGAAGAAACAAGAAATTGTTCAGGCACAAAAGGGTTGTTAGAGACACTCCTCATCCATATTTAACTGGAGAACAAATCGAAGCGCAAATCGATTACTATTGTGCTCTAGAAACAACTCCTCGTGGTGGGAATTGGCATGTTCCCAGTAATATGCCTGATTTTTATGGTGTTCAGCACAATTGGCACAAAAAGAGTATATTTTGGGAATTGCCATATTGGAAAGATCTTCTTTTGCGCCACAACCTCGATGTGATGCATATAGAGAAGAACTTTTTTGAGAACACCATGAACACTATATTGAACGTCCCAGGGAAGACGAAAAACAACGTAAAATCGAGGTAAGACTTACCCGATATCTGCTCAAAGAGTGAGCTACATATAAAAAGCAATGGGCAAGTTCCAGTTCTAATATTCAGACTGTCATCAGATAAAAAGTCTGCGTTGTTCAACTGGGTGGCTTCAGAAGTGAAGTTCCCTGATGGGTATGTTTCAAATCTCTCAAGATGTGTTGAGAAAGGGCAAAAGTTCTCCGGGATGAAGAGCCATGATTGTCATGTCTTCATGCAGCGACTACTTCCCTTTGCGTTTACGGAGCTACTACCGGCAAAAGTACATGAAGCACTTTCAGGTAATTAATTAATATAATACGATGATATGATTAATTTATTTCTGTATACATATATATATATATATATATATATACTAATGTGGATAATTTTTGTTTTTGTAAATATATAGGAATTGGAGCATTTTTTTAGGGATCTGAGCACCCGCACTCTTAAAGTGGAAGTTGTCCAACAACTTCATGAAAACATCCCCGTCTTAATCTGTAACTTGGAGAAAATATTTCCGCCTACTTTTTTCGACGTCATGGAACACCTAGTTGTCCACCTCCCATATGAGACATTACTTCGTGGACCTGTGCATTATGGATGGATGTATCAATATGAAAGGGCAATGAAAACTTTGAAAGGAAAAGCCAAAAACCTAGCAAGAGTTGAAGGTTCTATTGTTGCGGGAAGTTTGACGGAAGAAACATCACATTTCACATTGTACTACTTTGCACCAAAAGTATGTACAAGGAAACGAGCTCCAAGAAGATATGATGATGGTGGTGTCGTGCCGACATATATGAAAGA